AGGGTTGCACGCGCGTGGTGCAGGAAGGCAGGGAGGCGCGGGAAAAAGGGAGGAGGGGGGTTGGCGGCTAGGGTTAGGATTAGGAGGAGGGGGAGGAAGGTAAGGCAGTTCGATAAGTGAAATTCTTTACATTTCAATAGTGGGTCTGGCCACAAGAACTCTTTATCTTCCGAGTATAGCTTGCAAAAAGAAGGGATTGGTCGGCTAGGGTTTTGCTCTGATACCAAATTGAATTAAAAACATTGTTCTTTTACTGAAATCTCTTAGGCTTATATAGAGCCCTATAAAGACACTTACAATTAACCCCCTACACATACTAATATCTCAACAGTATTGGGAGGTGGCAGGACATAATTTGTTAACTACTTGTCTTGCAAGCTTCAATTTCGTGACCGATATAACATGAGCCCTGGAATTTTTGGCAGGCCCTGTTCTTGTCTACTGTGCTTAGCCGAGAATTAATGTATTCAGATGGTTGGCATCAGGTTGACCATCCTTTTATAAACTTTTATCGAATATTTCATTAAGTATTGTGCTCTGGAAAATCTACTCTAAATGGGAAAGGCTTTTATGATGGTGGTGGTGGTGGTGATGGCTTACATTTAGAGCTTCTTAAATAGTGCAAAATGAAGAGAGGGAATTTTAGAAAACCTGCCTTTAAGCTTTGCTGGTTTCCGGACAAAGCTCCTAATTTTAAAAATGTCGCTTAAACAGTTAAACCCCCTTAAGCGTGGGGTGTTTCATAAACCCCAAATGTTTTCATTTTTTCTTAAAACTAATCTCCCTAATGAGAACTTGTAAAAGATAAATATACCCTTTTCAAATTAACTTCTAATTAATAACTCATGAGTTAAATTAATTAAATCCCTAAACATAATTCAAGAGAGGGGAGAGGCTTTGGTGGCAAACCTCGCTGGTAATGTAAGGAAGAAAGAGAGAAGAGAAAGAGAGAAGGGAAGATAGAAAGGGAGTGGAGGGAAGAGAGGAAAAGAGAGGAGGGGGGATATGGAGGGAAGGATTCTTGGGCGCCTGTTAGGATTTTGGGGAAGGGTCAGTTTCACGGTTAGTATTACACATAGAGTGATAGGGTAGAGGAGAGGTTGCTAGCAACGGCCATCAACGGTGCCGGTTAGGGAGAGTGTTAGTGTTAGAGATAGTGAGATGGGGCCGGGGTCGGTGTCGGCCATCATTGGCGATGGAGTTGAGAACGATTGGGGAATCATGTTAGAGAGGTTTATTTCAAAATTGGACCAAACTTTTTTTTGTTTTTTTAAGGTTTTGTTTTTGGGGTTGGGGTTGGGGTTGGGGGGTGGTTGTGAAAATTACGATTTACAATTGTTAAAAGGGACATTCATACCAGCATTTTGGTCATTTGAACGCATGTGACTTTCACGTGCTTAGT